GGGCAAGGACGGTCCCTTCTTGCATCTCTGGAAAGCACCTGGCACATGGCAGGCACTGCCACAAACATGTCTCCAAAATTTACACAGCAGAGAATTAGCCAGGGGAACTCACTGCCACTGGATGTCAGTGAGGCAGAGGGTGAAGGGCCTGATTCTGATTTCCAAACAGGGCCCTTTGCACTGATTTAAAGGGACTTTCATGTAACTAAGAATCAGGCCATATTTAAATTAAGCATAAAAAGAACCATTTACATTAGGCAGGATAAAAAAATAAATATAAGGGCTCTACCCCTGCGCCCTTCTGCTTCAGGGCACAAATCAATCACTAATTGCCTGGAGTCAGAAATGTCCCCATATTGCAGAATTGTCCACCTTAATTCTATTTGTTTTGAATTAATGGCTAATCCCAAAGGGACATGGCCCCTGCAAAGTGAGCACCACCCAGGTCAATCTCTGGCAAGGTATTTAGGGTGGTCTGATTGCAAACTCCTTTGATGTCCATCACTGGCAATCATAAGCTTGTGGCACCCATATAATTGCTGGTGTTTAGCAGCATTTCTTTTTACACATGCTTTGGAATTCGTTGGTCTTTCAATCTTATAATACTTCCCTACCAGGAAAGCTGCTGATCCCAAACCAGTCCTGATGGAGGCGATTGCTGAGTTCAGTTTCTAATATCCTCATTTCTGATCTTGTCCTGCTGCTTGATATGAAACAGCTGATGGAAACGACGACGACATCAGGAGAATCGACAACATCAGTCCGCTGTCCTTCAGCCTTCCTCACCACACGCATTTCACTTCCAGATTACACAGTCAGTATAACTGTGGTTCTAAATTTCCACAGTTTCATAGCAAGCCTGCTGTTATGATGGTCCCACAGAGACTCCTGAGGGACCTGAAACGCGGCAGCTGCTGCTGCTATATGAGCTACGGGCACCCACATCTTTCAAGCCTCTTCCAGGACGGTCTATGATGCTGCCCAAATATTTAACAGTTTGGACAGGTGAAGATTGAGCTGTTTCTAATTTGGAGCTGGAGGCTGTTGGATGCTAATGGCCAGGGACTTCATTTTATCTGGGTTAATAGCCAGACCAATGCATGCGACTTCTCACCTGACCAGCTCACCTTCAGCTGCATCGATTCACGGAACTGGGCCAACAGGACAATGTCATTGGCATATTCAGGTTCTCAAAGCAGAATGGTGTTCAGCTCAACGCCACTGATAGCCACCTCCTCAAATATATCCAATAGCCAATCAGTGCTGGCATAGGTATGTCCACCTAGGGGCTCCTTACACCTTCCACTGAAGTGGTGATAGTGGTTCAAGTCAATGAGGTCTAATATATATAATGTACCCTGGTCTTCATCAGCAGATCTCAAAATGCTTCATAAAGTAGGTCAGTCATTATATCCATTTTATTGATGGGGACACAAATGCACAGAGGGTTACCCTGCAACAGAGCCGGGACTGGAACCCCTCAGATCTCCTGACCCCCAGTCCAACCCCACTGCCACCAGATGCCACTGTCTTGCCTCCAGCATAACCTCAAGGGTGATCTAAAAAAAATACAATTGGCCTCTCTTACAGGGTCTGCGACCCGCCCCTCTTCCTGGGGCCTGCTTGCTGCCCCCAGTAAGGCTCAGAGAGGCTTCAGGGTTGTGGAACACCTGTCTCTTTATTTACATAAGGTTCTCCCACAACCCATCTCTCTCCCAGACTTTATAGCCCTTGGCTTTTCAGGCCAGCAGGTGTTGCCACTCCTCAGGCCAGCATCAGGCCTTTTCCATCAGCCCCAATCTGACAGGGGAGGAGGGATAGCTCAGTTGATTAAGCATTGGCCTGCTAAACCTAGGGTTGTGAGTTGGATCCTTGTGGGGGCCACTTAGGGATTTGGGGCAAAATCAGAACTTGGTCCTGCTAGTGAAGGCGGGGGGCTGGACTTGATGACCTTTCAAGGTCCCTTCCAGTTCTAGGAGATGGGATATCTCCATTAATTATAATTAATCTGTTTCCACTGATTGGAGCTGACTGGGCAGGGGCTAATTAGGTACTTTTGCACCAGCACCGTGCTACAGCCTCAGAATTGTTACTTGCCAAAATTCTCATGACTGGGACCTTACCAAATTCTCGGTCTGTTTTGGTCAATTTCATGGTCATAGGATTTCAAAAAGTGTAAATTTCACAGTTTCAGATATTTAAATCTGAAATTTCACGGTGATGAAACTGTGGGGGTCCCGACCCAACAGTGGATTGTGGGGGATTTCAAGGCTATTGTACGGGGGTCATGATATAGCCACCATTACATCTGCACTGCTACTGGCGGTGGCACTGCCTTCAGAGCTGGGTGGCTGGAAAGTGGCGCCTGCTGGGAGCCCAACTCTGAAGGCAGCGTTGACACCAGCAGCAGTGCAGAAGTGAGGGTGACATGGTTTGGATGGTGTCATCACTTTTTCGGGGGGGAAGAGCTGGCCTTATTCAGGGGGAGACCGCCCAGGGTGCTGTGGTCAATGGGAGGGGGCATGGTCACCCTCTCTCCCACCCACACCCACATACTCACAGCCAGCCCAAGGCCTCTTAGGCCGTTGTGGTTTTTTCATATGGTGGTTCACCCTCCATATTGGTCCCTCTCCTACTTGCCCTTTTCCTGAAATCTGCCTACTAACAGGGCCAGTGGTGGGAAACTTAAGGTGGGAAGGGTCACCTGACCCGGGAAGGCTGCCTATTGACTCTAGGTAATATAAGGGCTCTGAGCCCTACACATGGTGTTTAAAGAAGTGTTTATCCAAGGGCTTTCACCTACATTAAGGGCGACTTTAGGAGCAGTCAGTCCAAGGACTATAACTATTGGAGAACTGGAAGACAAGTTGAGAAGCTTTTGAACTCCAGAGAGAAGCATTCCCAGGCCACTGGCAGAGGAAGAAGATAGCTGCTGTGAAGGAAAACAACAACAAACCCAGTGGACAAAAAGGAAGAACATTCAGTGGCAGTAATTTCACATAGAAGCCAGAGGGAATGGATGTATCCAATCATGCCAATCCAGTAAGACACCAAGATTTCAACCATGACTAGGGCCTTACCAAATTCTCGGTCTGTTTTGGTCAATTTCACGGTCATAGGATTTCAAAAAGTGTAAATGTCACGGTTTCATATATTTCATTCTGAAATGTCATGGTGTTCAAACCATGGGGTCCTGACCCAAATGGGGGTGGTAGGGAATTGCAAGGCTATTGTACGGGGGTTGTGATATTGCCACCATTACTTCTGCACTGCTGCTGGTGGCAGCATTGCCTTCGGAGCTGGGTGGCCAGAGAGTGGCGGCTGCTGGCTGGGAGCCCAACTCTGAAGGCTGTGTTGACACCAGCAGCAGTGCAGAAGTGAGGGTGACATGGTATGGGTGGGGTCATAATTTTGGGGGGGGGGGCAGGGACGTCCTTATGGGTGTGTGACCACCCAGTATCCTGTGGTCCAGGGTGTGCCATGGTCACCCCCTCACACACACACACACAACCAGTCCAAGGTCTCTATAACCCCCTTTAACCCAAGTGCTCGGCCTGGAGCCAGGGAGGGGCGGGGCTTAGGGCACCCCTGCTGATGGCTTGCTCCCACCTCCAGGAACCTCCCCTGGCTAGAGGAAGTGCTGGTTGTGGTGGGGCAGATGTAAGGGTGGCAATCCTGCAACCCCTCTGCAATAGCCAGATGTCACGGTCTGTGACATGTTTTTCATGGCCGTGAATTTGGTAGGGCCGTACTCATGACCCTCTCTGGGATCATGTAATCGCTGACCTAGTGGATTTTGTGCTGGCGTGAGCGAGAGCATGTAGAGTTATCAGCAAAATGCTGAGCTGCTGTCCCCATGGAGTCACTACGAGGCAACGCCTGCTCTTGGATTCTGCTGTTATTGGACATTCTTCCCCCAAGGGCTTCTCCTTTCAGAATTGCAAGTGGAAGGGAGGGATTCTGGCTACTTCTCCCCGCATGGCTAGCCTGCCTGCCAAACTGCCCCTCAGCAGAGTACATAAGCATTGGTTCAACTCATGGGACAGTCTTGCTTCTTCCACCTGGACAAGTGGTGCTTAGAGAGTTAACACTGCCCCTAAACTCTTAACTAGCTGGTGTGGACGAGCCCCTAGCAGGGTTACAGCTGGTGTAGTGAGCTCCAATCCCCGGCAGTCGCTAGCGTATGTTCCCACAAACCCTGAAAAGTCTACGGGAGATTATCGGATGCAGCAGACCCTGGGGTCTCCAGGTTGGTGTAGAATGTCCCCTTAGTTCTTCAGCTGTTCATTAGCCATTGTGGGATCAAGATGCCCATGCCACAAGCTTCCAGTTGGAAGAGTTACTGTGACTCCAGTTATTGGTGAGAAACTGACATTTTTCTGGCCATGAAGCCTTCTGCTAAATCCACCTGCCATCCTATCTAGTGTGTCCTGGAATAGTACAGGACCCCATCTGGTGAGGTGCTCGCAGAGGCTGCTCTATACAATATAGGCAGCTGTCTATGGTGGCAGACTTTTGAGCAGCTGCCTACAGTAGCAAATTTAGCCTCACTGCCCCCTAGTCATGCAAGACCACACTGCCACTCAATGGAATTTGGCACTGCCACCCTTTCTTTCACAATATAGGAGTGACTGGGCCAAATCTGCCACCCTAGGCGTCTGAGGAGGGGGATGGAACACCAAAGTTTTGCCTGGGATGGCAGATTGACTTGAGCAGCCTCTGGGAGAGAAGTGCTGATTTCAACATGCTCTGATAAAATTCAATGGGAGTTGAGCAATCTCAGAGCCTGGAAGTCTAAAGACCAGAAACTGGAACCACAGAGACGCTATGATTCTGCACTGACCTGGAGAGGAAATGGTTGGGCCACGGTCCCTGGCCTGGCAATTGTGAGAATGAGAAATGTGACCACGGGCGTCCGTTGCCCCGGAAAGTCATGATGACGGCTCCTATCCATATAAACTGCACCGACGGCAAAGAACAGAACAGAGATCTCCACAGCCATGGAGATGGACAGCTCCTACCACAAATGGGACAGCTCAGAGCAAGTGGAACTGGCAGTGCAGGGAGGAAGCCGCGCACCTGGGAGAGGCGGTAAAGGTGAGCTGGCTTGAGGAAGGGTGGTCTTGTGATTAAGGCACTGCACTGGGAGTCAGGAGGACTGTGTGCGATTCCTGGCTTTGCTAATTTGAGGTTGGCCGGTGCGAACAATCAGGAGAGTTTCTCTCTCTCCCAAGTAGTGTCTTGGTTAAGTCTGGATATTCCCATCATCCACATCAACTCCTTTCTTATCATGGGGCAAACTCATCCCTGGGTCACTCCAGTGTCTTCCGTGTTGCTATTCCAGGGACAAAACTGGTCCTGTGAACCTGCCCATATCTTCCCACTAGAGCCTGAAAGGATTCTCATGCTCCCTTTAAGGCAGGGGCTTCTCAATCTGGGCGTCACACTCACCCTACACTTCCCATATTGCCAAAAGGGAGAGGGATTCCCAACATGGAAAATGGAACTCAGGGAAGGCTGTGAACTACCTCAAGGTATTTACCCTACAGTGAATCCCTCCCTTCCCCTTGTCCAGTTATCATCTCTTGTAGGGAACCATGTTCACTGCCTGGAGTCTCTCCCCAAAGGGAATGTTAGGAGGGGTTGATCCTGCAGTGAGAGATCTAACCAGTGTTGCTCCCCACAGCTCTTTGCCTCTCCAACTCCACCCAAGGGAAGGCCTTTGCGATCCTGTATCTCCTGCTGGCGATTTGCATTGCAGTGGCCACAGCTCTCATCGTGGTGAACCGTAGGAAATGTAAGTCTCCTGTTCGTTTCTACCTCGGCCTCAGATCTCACCTTCCAAGACTGAGGCTGCTCTGACTAGTTTGGGGTGGATTTTAGCGGTGGGGCACAAAATTGGGTTGAGACTGGAGGCTCACTTGTGACCTTAATTATGGAGCAGTTGCCATTCCTAGGTAACTTTCACTCACCTCTGAGTTAAGGTGACCGGATTCTCAAAGGGGTGGGATTTGTCCTTAGCATAATTCCCACTAGCTTTCCATGGGACTTGTGCTCGAAACACTCAGAAAAATCCCACCCAAAATCAATAACCGGGCCATGTTTGTGGTGGCATTTTGAAGGTTGTGAAATATTCATAGAAAAATGTTCTTTTTTCAACGGTGTTCTGGGGCAAATGCAAAGGGCTGCCTGTGGATCCCACTTGCGGCGAGGGAATGTCTGGGAGTGAGAACAATGCAACGGGGGCATGGCACAGTGCGCTGCCACGATTGCCTCTTCCCCATTAACACAAGGGGAGCTTGGGTTAGACAAATGCATTCCTTTCCTATTTAACTTTGCAACCAGCTAATCACACACAAACCAAGACAGGCTCCTTGTGGCAGCAAGCAGCTTTCTGCTCTGCACAGCAGTCAGAGCCCTGCATTGCTCTGGGAAGGCTGAACCTTTTCACTCTCAGCTTTGCTATGCCCCTTTGAGCTCTCCAGCCACATTCTGCGCCCATGTGTAGCAGTAGCAGCTGCACCACAAATCTACATTGTACCGAGGACTGAGCTGGTGTCCAGAATAATGAATCCCTGTGTTGAGCACAGTGTACCTGTAGCAGAGGATCCCGGCTAGGAAGAGGTAATGGACATCAGAAGTCTTGGGTGGTAACTGGGAGGAAAGTGCACTATACAGCAGCACTGATGTCCCCACAGATATGGGTTTCCCCTCCTGTTAAATTTTACTCTGCAATCAAAAGTCTCATATCTACAGTGTCCCGGGGTCTTGCCGAAGCCCAGCTGGATCGAGATACAATAAGAAGAGATGCCAAGAGAAATCTGTCACATCACCAGGACTATATAGGTGAGAGGATAAAGAAAATGTTTCTAATCCTTGTCGGACTTCGCAAGTCTTTTTTGGTCCTTACACCTCAAGGGAGGGGAGAGTTGGGCAAACGGGGTCAGCTGCAGGGCTGGTGAAGCTGATGTAGCTCCTTGGACTTCAGTGGAGCTGAGCAGACACACATCAGCTGGAGATCTGACCCCAGCTAAGACAGGACTCTAGATTATTGTGGGCAGTGGGACGACCACAGGAGGTGGAAGCAGTTCTTAGAAGTTGTTGGACAACGTTGTCCTGCTCCTAGGATCACTGATTGTTCAGTGAGATTTTGTTCTGATGAAGTCACGTTTCTACCAGTGTCTCATTGGCTGAGAGTGTTGTCCTGCTGGGGAAGCCTTGACATAGATGGAATTGGTCTGTTCCAGGAGTAGGCATGTGCCTGGGGCTCCCATAAACAGCCACTGCTTGGGTGAGTGGGAACAGAGACCTGTGTCCCCCAGGACAGATCCCAGTTTAAAGGAAGTAAGGAAGCAATAATCTGGATGGGGGAGAAGTGTTGTGGTGGGTCCCCAATCATCCAGCAGATGGTCCCTGCGAACCCACCTACAGTTGAAACCGTTCTACAGGGACAGGGCCAATGGGAACCACCACGCTGGGTGTCCCTGATACCCCTGGATTACCTCAATGGAGTCCTGGGTCTGACCTGTTCTTTCTACCACAGTCCCCCTGCATGGGTCATTGATTTCCTAATTTTCCTTTGGGACACTAACACTGTAACCAGCCTGCACCCACCTCGACAGGATGGGTGTCATTGTGCAGCACATCACGGGCACTGAGAACATCCCAGTAACAGTGGGTTAGTACTCAGATCCTGCTGCTCCAAAAAGGGTCTGAGCCCCAGCTGAGCAGAGGTTGGCGGCTTTGTGGCTAAGGCATGGGCTGGAACTCACAAGATCTGGCTTCAGTCCCCAGTTTTGCCACTGACTCCCTGTGTGACCTTGAAAGAGTCACTTCATTCCTTTGTATCTCAGTTTCACTATCTGTGAAATGGGTAACATTTCTTGTCTATTTGTATTGTAACCATCTCTCGTTCTGTGTCTATGCAGTGCCCAGAGCAACAGTACCCAATCTCAGTTCGGGTTTGTGCAGCACCTGGCACAAAGGGGCCCTAATCTCAGTTGGGGCCTCTAGGCAGCATTGTAATATAAATCATTAATAGCTATAAGTGAAACCCATTTACATCCTTGCAAACGACTGCGCTCGCTCTATAAATTTCACACACTCCTGGATGAATGGTCCTTACCCAGCACTCCTCAGGGGTGGAGCGTGTGAGTGGGGCAGCATGAGGTCCTGTGTTGTTATTTAAAATGGAAAATCCCCCTTCTCTCATCTTCCTTTTAGAGTTGAAGATGTCCAAAGAATTCAACGTATTTAACAGTCGACTTCTTAATGGTATGTTCTGCTGATGTTTCTCAAGAGGTTAGGCATAAACAGTTCCATTGTACTGCCAACCCCAGCATTCAAAAATCATGAGTGAAGCCCATGAGACTGGCTTAAAAATCATTAATTTTTTTAGAAATTCAATAAATGTTGGGCTTGATTCTGTTCTGGTTTCTGAACCTTTCGGGTCATGCTTGGGTCACGTTATTAAGCTGCTCTCCGCTACCACGAAGGGTAGAAATTATTTTTTTCTAATGAAAGCTGAGATTCTCTCCTAACTGCATAAATCCAGGAGCTGGGGCTGAAGAAACATATCAAGTGTCACAAAACGTGCAATAAAATCGTGGAGGTTGCACATGGGTGGAGTCTCTCCCTTCGACACGCCCAAGTACAGCAGTTGTTTCCTGCTCCCTGTTGTCTGCAGTGTCCAAGGAGATGGCTGGGGTTAGGCTGGGGATCGAGGAGATCCAAGGTGATCACGTGAAAGACCCATCACATCTCCAGGACACCATAGGTGAGAAACATCCTTTTCCTTCCTTTACCTGATCACTGCTACTTCCTTGTAGAGGGACTCCTGGGTCTGATCTTCCCGTGTGGAGGGCAAGCTGAAATGGAAGGAGAGAAGGAGGATGAGAAAGGGGAAGTGTGAGGATGGAGCAGGTAACCCTGTATGGATAATCCCATTTTAGTTTGGGATCAGCTGCATCCTGCTCCCATGGGCCTCCCCAGGTTTTATCCTGAGCCCCGTTCATGCTGCAGCAGAACTTTGGATCTCAGACCCCGATCCAGCAAAGGCACTTAGGCATGTGTAACCCACTGGTGAGCACGTGTGACAGGTCCCCCACTGTGCTGATCTAGGAGATGATTGGGTAGCTTTGTCTCAAGCTGTAGTATTTCCTGCTTTTAGCCCTGGAGGAACCCAGTTCAATCCCCAAGTTGTTACCCACGATAGCAGCTGTCAAACAACTCTACGCTCCCGATTACTGTGTGGTGTAACACATCTCAGAGCAGTCGTTTTCGACCTGTGGTCCGTAGACCTGTGGGGGTCCACACACTATGCCTAAGATTTCAATAGGGGTCCACACCACCATTGAAAAGCTCAGGGGTTTGCAAATGAAAACAGGATGAAAATCACTGGCTTTGTCTTTAAGTGCTTTGCTGCATTGTGGTCTCAGTACCCTGTAAATACATTGGAGTGAGGGGCCGGGGGTTATGGGGGGACTCTGGTTTGCTCAGCGCTGCTGAGAGTTCACAGGGCCTGCAGAAGGAATTTGAGAATGCTCAGCCTTTCTGGTATCAGGCCCATACAGTGCTAACATGAGCCGGATTCTGTGATGCAGAAGTGGAGTGTGGGCTACCTGATTCACTCACTGAATACAACAGTTGGCTTGAAGGAAAATCAATGAGACCCAGGATAGCAGAGGTGCTCAGGTAATACAATGGTCGACTCCAGTATCAGAGCATAGATAGATCAAAGGCTGTGAATGGGGACAGAGAGTGTGTTTGCGGATGGATGGACACAGAGAAATTTCCAGCTGCTGTAAAGGAAGGTCTGAGCCAGCCTAGAAATATCAACCTGTTGATTCCAGTGGCATTTTTCTACCCCCTGCCTGCCCTGACAGAGATAAGGAACCTAACGCACAGTATGTCGAAGGAGCTGGCTGAGGTGAGAAGGGACCATGATAGACTCCAGGAGGTCTTGAGCAGGGTGCAGGACGAGTTACAGAATCTCACAGGTAAATAGTCGCTGGGTAGGGCTGTGACGCCTGTGACAGCGTTATCTGAAAGGCTCAGTGTCAGTAAAAGGCAACAGGGAACAGCACTTTTGACTGTCATGTTCCCATTAGGCCTATGGCCTGCGCAGCTCCCCCTGAACTGAAACTGACCACATCTCCCCAGCTGGGAGTCCCCAGTGGCTGTAGCGCCGGCACAGATGTCTCCAATGTCACCCTCCTGTCTGGCCCCGATTCTCTCATTGGTTCTAAGCCTTGGGCACCAGAGTTGGTGTAGAATCATCCGGAGACTCAGGGAACCATAACCCATTCCCTGATACCTGCCCTTCACCCGATGAAAATGGACACAGCTGATAATCTTGGCCCTAGTTGGCTAAATACATAAAGAAGACTAACATGGGATGGATACAATACTGTATGGCAGAAGCCACCAGATGGTGCTGCTGTACATCAGCTTGCAAGTTCTCTTTCCAAGCATGTCAGCTGTATTCAGTCTTTGAAGACATGATATGTTGTTGTTTGCAGGCTGTGATATTTGGGGGGGCAGCTGTTTTTTGTTTATGGGCACCTATTTTCCAGGACTAGTGCACGGAGCGAAAATCAACACGTTATACTAGGAAAATATTAACTCTCTGATTTATTTTCAATGGGAAACCGACCTACCAGGCCCTGCCATCTGCTACCACATGTCAGAGGGGCGACACTGCCATGTAACTTAGGGTTACCATATTTCAATCCTGCGAAAAGAGGACACTCCACGGGGCCCTGGCCCTGCCCCAACTCCGCCCCTTCCCCGGCCCCGGCCCCGCCCTAACTCCGCCCCTTCCCCAAAGTCCCCGCCACAACTCCGCCCCCAGGGTGACCAGAGCAAAAAAAAAAACAACCAACCCCCGCCCACCCCCTACCATTCCTCCTTCCTCCGCAAGCGCTGGAGAGAGGCCCAGGAGACGCAGGGGAGCGCGGGGCCGGGGTGAGTGTGAGTCCGGCCTGGCCCCGAGCAGGCAGAACTCTGGCGCGGTACCTGGAGGACGCGGTCCCCTTACCATGCCTCCCTATTTTCCCAGACATGTCCGGCTTTTTGGAAATTCCTCCCGGACGGGGATTTGAGGACCAAAAAGCCGGACATGTCCGGGAAAATCCGGACGTATGGTAACCCTAATGTAACTTATAAAACCACCCCACAGAGGATGAATATCAAAGTATGAATATTTGCAACAAACTATTTAGCAAGCTTTTCAGGAGGGTGAAATTCATGCTTAAGTCCAAATACTGAATAAATTCTTGAATTCCTTTAACTGCTTGTGAGCAGTTAGAATGCATTTTCACTCCCTAATCCAGGCTTGTCCCATAATTTGACTTCTCACAGAATTCACCTGCATGAAATGTCCACCTGGCTGGCAGCGTTTTGAGAAAAGTTGCTACTTCTTTTCAACATCGACTAAATCCTGGCCGGACGCTAAGCAGTTCTGTATGGATCAAAAGTCTGGCCTGGTTATCGTTAACACCGAAGAGGAACAGGTAAGCCAGCCACTCAGATTCCTATTGTGGATCATGCAGAATGGAAGGGATTATGCACAAGGGGCCAGGTTCTGTTCTGTTACCCCAGGGTGAATCTCGAGTTACTCTAGATTTACCCCAGCATAACTGAGATCACAGACTGGCCCAAGTTCTCCAGGAATTTAGAAATATTTTTGGATGTAGCTTGCTGTTCAAGGGGGATTGAGGGGAACTCGATACTTAGTCATTTGAAAAATGTCGAGTGAGCTCTGTGATAAGAAATCTCAGTGTCAGATGTGGATGGTTTGATGTGAAACAAAATTTCATGCGTGTGTGTGTTGGGGGGGGCAGTTATAATCCCGTGTGAATCCAAATCACAGTTTCATGGGGACTTAAAAATTATATTTGATTGCTACTGACCTAGGCAGGATTTCAGCTGCTGACCCAGAGGTAAAATGCTTTTCACAGGCGCTCACTTCTACACTACGAAAGGCCTTTTGATATCCTAGGGAAGACCCCACTCCAGATTCCTCATCAAGACATTGCAGAAGGAATCCTGCCCTGAGGGAGAATCCACTTTAAGTTTTAAATTGAACCCAGTGCCTGCTGGGAACAGGACTTTGGGAGACTAGTTGGTGCTGGGAGGATGCCCATGTAGTGCAGAGGTGGGCAAGGTACTGGTGTGAATCTGGAGTCACCAGAACCTAAATCTGACTCACGAGCAGTACAGCTCATAGCGTGTGTATTTCGCTTTCCCGTCTTCAGTTCTGGATTTAAGGCTCCCCCAGTAACCAGGGTGCAGAATGGGACTTAACAGGGACTGTAAGATGATTCCTTGGTTCCCCTGCCTGGAGGAGACCTATGGCCATGGATTTCACAGTCCCCAGAGGCAGACCCTCAGCAGCTGTAGAAGGGCTGAAAATTATCTACAGTCCTCAGGGAACAGCAGCGTAATATTCAGCCTTATTATTATCACTTACCTGTATTGTGGTAGCACCTAGAAGTACCAATCAGAGCCCTGTTGTGCTAGGTGCTGTACACACGTCACAAAAAGAAAGTCCCTGCCCCAAACAGGCCAGTGTTCACTCCTATTCTAAAGGGAAAATTTGCAGGACAAAGGGCAGAGATGAGGCATTTGAAATACCAGTGGTCAGAAAATGACTTTTTTTTTTTCCTGTGGAAAATTTCATTTTGGGGGGCAAAGATTTATATAATGCAATTTTTTGGCTGAAAATCGAAACATTTCAATTTGGAAATGCTGCTGCAGCGCCTCATGGGCGCTGTAGTTTGGATGCCTCAGGCCCCCGTTCTTTAGAGGTCAGTCTACATCTCCCATGATGCACAATGGTCACTCCTCTTGAAGAGAGAAAGCGAAGCATCCAATGGAATGCCTGGTGCATCATGGGAAATGTAGGGTGGCCAGCCCCAATGTAAAGGTTTGGAAAAACAGGGGGAGGGGTGACAATCTACAGCTACAGACTCTGCTGGCCACAAACACAGGCCCCATGAAACCCCCCCACCTCCCCCCTCACCTTCTGCTTGGGATCATGATTGTCTCCTTCACCTGTTTTCCCACATAGACGTTTTTGTCAAACCACATCACTGAACCCCACGTGTACTGGCTGGGCCTCAGCGACTCAGCGAAGGAAGGGGAGTGGCGCTGGGTGGACGGCAGCCCCCTGTCTGTCAGGCAAGTTCCTCTTTCTTCAGCCTCTTTGAAGAGCGAACTGTCCCTTACAATCAGCTGTTTCTGCTTTATCTGCTGTCCTGCTAAAGAGCCAGATGGAGCATTGATACCAATGCAGTTGATAGTAAAGGGGTCTCTGGTCCCCTTTAGTGGCTAAACCATGTAAAGAAGGTTATGAGTCTGCTACTGCCTCCATGCCAATGTCATCCAGGGTCAGCACAGAGCAGGGGCAGGACCTGGGATGTTCCTGGGGAGCAGAAAGCTGCTTGACCATGGGGCATTCTGAATGTCCTGCTAAGGAACGGTGCTGGGGAGAACAGCAACATGGCCCAGGGGACAGGGCCATGGACAAGGAGGCAGCACTCCTGGGTTCTAGTCCCAGCCCCATGAGTGTGCTCTGCTGGCCGACTGTGAGGCACGTCTCTCCCTGCTCTGTGCCTCAGTTTCCTCACCTGTAAAATGCACTGGAAACTGATGTCCTCCAAGCTGAGAACAGCTCTGGCTTGAGCAGTGGCTGAGCCAGCTTCCCCCTATTCAGTGGCTACCACCAACCTGCCATGGCCCTGACCTGCAGGCACCCCCTCAAGGAGTGAGTAGGCAGATCAGTCCATGCCCACCTGGACTCTCTCTGCTAAAACTATCAGACCAGTCAGTGCCCGTTGGCGGCAGTGACGTGGAGACCTGTCCCCTAGGAGCTGGCTCATTTCACACCACCTGCATGGATTAATTTCACGTGGCTTCAGTTTCCGTAGGTTCTGGTTCCCCGGGGAACCCAACAATGGTGTGGGACTCGAGGAGGACTGTGTCCACCTGCGCTCTGACGGGAATTGGAACGATGCCATCTGCTCCTTGACTCATTACTGGATCTGCGAACAGAAGTACTAGCTGAATCCCTGAATCCGCAGCAGGGAGGGGAGGTCTCACACAGCCTGCCCCGTGTGGGACTGCTCCGGAGCTATCGTCTCTCTAAATCAGTGATTCTCAGACTGCCGCTCGTGAGCTGCAAGAGGCTTTAATGTGTCTCCTTTGGCTCTTTTCAGCACATGATATTAAAACACTGTGATTTAATTATTAACCGATCTAAGTTATTAGCCAATCTGGATGCTTTTACTATGTTATTAACCCATTGAGTTATCAACTTACAGTAAGCTACTAGCTTATTTGCTGTGAGAATAATATGTACAGATATGAAACTAAATATTTCCCCTCACACTGTTTAAATATGAATAGTACTATCGTCAATGAAACAATGAATTCACCCTACTGTGGCGCTTTTGCGTAACGGTGATGGCTAATTTGGCTCCTGAGCCACTGAGGTCCGAGTATCACTGCTCTACATGCTGGGCGGCTATTGCAGCGAGTGGCGCTATGGGACAGGATCATGGAAAGCAGAGGTGGAGAAGGTGACTGGCATTGGACCGTCTAATCCGTTTCCCTCCCATACTGGGGCCCAGGGCGGGGTTGTTCCCCTCAGGGCTCTAGCATTAAATGTGGCTCCCACCCTTCCCCAAAGAGGATGCAATTCCCCAGCCTGGTAGATCTCATTGCCAGGCTGTTCTTCCTGACACTGGGCCAGAGTCTGATCTCAGGTGCGCTGCTGTAAATGCAGAGGCTGTACTGGCTTCAGGGGACTCACCCCGAACTGACATCAATGTGAGTGAGATCAGAATCGGGGCCATTCGCCCTCAAACATCCTTTTCTTAATTTCATCCCATTGCTCCTTGCAAGACCCCCTCAGTCAGGTGTATCTTGGAGGCCAGGGGAGGCCAGGAGGTCTGTCTGGCCTTCCCTCCATTTTCCCAGCCAGGGAGTGGGGAGTATTGACCTGGGAAGGTTGCAGGGGAGTTTTACTGGGACTGTCTGCATTGGGGATGGGAGACTTTCCTTGAGGGAAGATACCTGAGCATGTAACATGAGAACTCAGGAGGGGGGTTGAAGATCACGTGACCTCCTGGCCCGGGAAAGAGACAAAGGGAGAGGAGGGGCTGGAGAGTTTCAGTTTGGAGCTGGCTGTGAAAATGGAGGGGAGGCCAGACAGACCTCCTGACCTCCCCTGGCCCCCAAGATGGACCTGACTGAGAGGGGTCCTGTTGTCTGTACCTGCAAGACCTGTCTGGGACTGTGTTCCTGTCATCTAAATAAACCTTCTGTTTTACTGGCTGGCTGAGAGTCATGGTGAATTGCAGGAAGCCGGGGGTGCAGGGCCTTGTCTCCCGCAAACTCTGTGACAGCAGGATAAACATATTAATTAAACAACTGCTTGTTGGAGAGGTGATTTTCTAACTAGTGCCGGGACACAGCCCAATCTGCTGTAAATCAGATTCGGCATCAATGCTTTACAGTCCATAGGGCCAAATCCGTAGCTGGTGTAATATAACTGGTTTAAGGGGCCACATCTCCAGCTGATGTAAATCAGCATTGCTCCTTGGAGCACAGCCATATCCCCCGCTGGTGTGTATTTACATAGTTCCATTGACTTCAAATAGCTCTATGACGATTTCCACCAGCTGAAGATGTGGCCCAGAAAAGTGGTCATCTCTCTCTCTCTCTCTCTCTCTCTCTCTCTCTTTGATATCTGGGGAGTTTCTGTTCCGGGCGTTTTCTTTTTTAAATACCAGAGAGTTTGTTACAAACATTTTGCAGGCGTATGCAAATTCACAGATCACCTCTACTGGAGCATGGCAGCCTGTGTGGGTTTCTCTTCTAGTGGACGGTACAGGAGTGGGTTTACCACATTTACCAGGGGCATGCGAGTGAAAGTGTGTGACACCGTGTGAATCAGTGTGAGAATGTATGTGCACACGCATGTGTATGTGCATCTGTGTATGTTCGTATGTTGACACCAGCTAAGGAGCTCGCCTATTTAATTTAATGGACTTATTCATGATTTACACCCATATATACAAGATCAGAATGAAACCCCCTCTGTGTGTTATTCCTGGATATCATGTTAAGGCTAGGAGCAGCAGAACTTTGGAGTTCTGGTAGTGCTAAGTAAAGATCTCCAGAGTAGATTCTGATCTTAGTTACACTGGTGTAAATCCAGAGTCACACCTTGGAACTCAGTGGAGTGACACCAGATTTACACCCGGGGAAGAGTGCAGAGCCTCGCCCTTTGGCTGAACACTTCAGTGTATGTATGTTGTGGAGTTTAGGCCATGAGCCCCTGGGAGGAAGGATGGTGAAGATGGGAAAACATCTTTGCTCCATCGAGCAGGAACATGTAATATGATTCAGCAAGTCAAGGGTTAAAGGATTACTTTAGGAGCTCTATCTATAGCAGGTGAAAAGTCATTGCAAGCAACCCTTGTTTGGATGCCCTGGACTCATGATCCCTGCAAGGCATCTCTAGGCGCTTCCAAGGTTTGGGTGACCTAGCTGCCTGTAAAGCCTGGGACACGGTCATTAGCTCAGGTTTGTCTGGACAGGTACTGGTTTCTTCCCACAAGAATTGCAGTTGCCCTGGCTTCCACCCCCACTAGTGACCTCCATCCCACAATTCAGTGCTTTGTGTTAAGAAATTCCCACAAGCCCCTTCACCCAGGAACTACTGGACAGGTGAGTCCCAGAATGCACTGGAACAACCATGTCTGCAAGGGGTGGATGGACCTGGTGAGAAACACAAACACATATACTGTAATGATCATAATAGGACCCTCACATCAGAGCTCACAGCTAGTATGGGAAGCGTCCTTCTTACCCTAACCCATGACGCCTTCCTGTGTGGGCAGGACAGGGCCAGTAATAGGTGATGAGGATCACTGGGACTTAACAAATGTGGTACATTATTAGCAGGTGCAGATATATCCTCTTCTAGTCCCTTCTTCACAGCACTGTGGTTTGCTGCATCAATGACCATGTTATTTATAAAATAAATAAATAGATGCTTAAAAATAAAAGTGTTGCCAGTCTATACCTCCAGCCCTACAACTGCTACTGGGCTACACACTGCTCCGGCGATCTGACGGGCATTATGGGATCGGTATCCCACAATGCACTGGGGTGAAACTGATCTCTCTGCAGAAGGCTAGCCCAAGGCTTAGGACATAAGGAGGATGTACGTGGTGCCTTGGCCGGGGGAGTGATGTGTATTGACGCCCACTTTCCAACAGTCCACCTCATAGCATAGGCACACTTATCTGTGGCAGTGGCCTGCACTGGCACTGATCCCTGCTACAGGACTGAGGTATCGATTGAGTTGTAGGATAAAAGTCTAGCCACCTATGCAAAGCCAGGGAAGGACTGTGTGTTTCCTCCCCAAACCACCCAGAGCCAGGGCGTGGGGACATTGGTGCAGCTAGGACAGAGGTCTTCCTATGGACTCTAGGAGAAGCTGCAGTGGGGCTGGCTGCTAGTAGAGACAGGATATTGGGCTAAATGAACCACGGGTCCAATCCAGTATGGCGACTCCTATGCTCTAGAGCGTGGCTCTCAACCTTTCCAGGCTACTGTACCCCTTTCAGGAGTCTGATTTGTCTTGCATACCCCCAAGTTTCATCTCACTTAAAAAGCACTTGCTTACAAAATCAGGCATAAAAATACAAGCGTCCCAGCACAGTATTACTGAAAAATGGCTGACGTTCTCATTGTTACCATGTAATTATAAAATAAATCAATTGGAATATAAATACTGTACTTACATTTCAGTGTACAGTATATAGAGCAGTATAAATAAGTCATTGTCTGTATGAAATTTTAGTTTGTACTGACTTCGCTAGTGCTTTCAATGCATCCTGTTGTAAAACTAGGCAACTATCCAGATGAGTTGATGTACCCCTTGGAAGACCTGTGCGTACCCCCAGAGGTACGCATACCCCTGATTGAGAACCACTGCTCTTCAAAGGGTGGGCAGTAGACCCATGCAGTTCACAGACCAGGTGGCCACCTCACCACCACTCCACCAGCCACCCCACGGCCATGCACCCCGCGGCGGGGTTGTGGCATAGCAACACTCCATGGCACACAACATGGTCTCCCCTTTTACCTGGCTCCTGTGCAAAACTCAGTTCTGCTGCATTTCACGCTATTTGCATAACCTTATTCTTCCGAGCCCCAGCAGAGAGAGGAACTGAAACTAAGGGAGTAACACAACTGCCCTGAGCGAGATACTGAGCGCAAGGGAGTGCTTCAAGCAGAACTGGCTCTGGGGGTGGGGTGGGGTGGGGTGGGGTCTGTTGATTCAGCAGCAAGCCACCTAAGCCCCTCGTCCCCAGCAATAAGGAATGTCTCAGCAGGAGCTCTATGGGAATTGGCTGTGCCCTCCACCGTCACCAGGGAAGAGACTGGTGAGACAAACAGGTAAAGACAAAGTGGTTGGAAACAGGGCACCATCTGTAGCCAGGCTTAGAAGGGGCAGATGTATGTTGTGTTGCGGTTGTGTGACGTGTGCGGCCATGTGCATTGTGGGGTGTGTGCAAGGAGCATGTACCTACAGACGTGTGTGCTTTGTGTGTGTATGTACATGTGTAAGCCCCATTTAATGTGGGTTATGTGGAGGGTGCATATGCAGTTGAATGTACTGTGCTTTGTGTGCAGGATGGTGCGCATACACATGCTGTTGTGTGAGCGAGTTTTGTGTCTGTGTGTGTACATGGGTGTGTAGTACATCCATCTTTCTGTGTGCAGGGCTGTTTGCGTTCTGTGTGTGTGTACAGAGGTATGTACAATTTGTATGGGAAGAGGATTGTGTGTGTGTAAGAATGTGCAGATGTATATGCTGTATAGTGTGTGTGTGTGTGTGTGTGTGTGTGTGTGTGTGTAGCATAAAAGAGTGCAGATATGTGTGCTCTTCGTGGTGTATATTTGTTCAGAAGGGAGAGGGGTAAGATGGGATAAGGTCAGTCAACCATAAACACAATACATCTCCCACTCAAATCCAGTGGTAG